CACACACACACACACACACACACACACACACACACACACACACACACACACACACACACACACACACACACACACACACACACACATACACACACTGGAATATATGCAACAGTTAAAGTTGTAACTAAAGCAAAAATATTTATAAAAATATGAAAAATACAGAACCATATCATGTAAAAATTTGCACTGGAGTAAAATGTATATTTACACACAGAAATACTCATGGTAAGAAATTTTACATTCATTATGCGTTTGGCTTTATAAAGTTTATCTCTCCCCTCTTCCCTCCCTCAACAGTTCTTCCTCCACTCCACCTGCCTCTCTGATTCTTCTGGCCTCCTTCTCTGCCTCCTCTGCTTTCCTCCTCTCCTCTCGCTCCGTCTCCATCAGCCACGGCCCTCCCAGGTAGCTCAGGATCTCCTCCGGGCTTCCACGCTGTTTGGGCTCAGGGTGGAGCAGCTCCTTGAAAAGAGTCATCACAAGTGGACTGAAGCCCTCAAACTGTGACGGAGGAGGGTTGTCTCTTGGGTTTTTCTCCATGATGGTGTAACTGTCTTTTTCCCCCTCGCCCCTCCACCCAACGTCTCTGACGTCCTCCTTTTCAGCCTCACGGATAAACCACTCCTTGTACCTGCGGTAGCCACGGTCGTCATGGGTGCTCTCCTCCCAGGGGAAGCAGCCGGTTAAGAGGCAGTAGACGAGGACGCCAAGGGCCCAGCTGTCGATGCAGGGCTCCACTGTTACCCAAATGTCCTCCATCTCTTCTTCAGTCCCTTCACTCAGCCGCCTCTCCATCTCCTTCTCGGCCTCCTTAGCTGGCTCCACCTCAGGAGTGCAGAAGGGCGAGTCGTACCAGACAGGTCGGACTGTGGTCCCGATGGCCCGGGCGAGGCCGAAGTCGCCCAGTTTGACCCAGCGACAGGAACTGTCACACAGAAAGATGTTCTCGGGTTTGATGTCACGGTGGACGAAACCCAGGGAGTGGAGGTGTGTAACAGCACCGCTCAGCTGGGCCATCACCCTCTGGACACACTCTTCATCCACTCCGAGCTAGAACAGAGACAGTCTGGATCAGTCAAGAACATAAAACGTGCCTTTCATAACTGAGAGCAACTTTCATTTTGAATAAAGATTAGTTGGAGTCTGGTTTACACAATACATTGTTGGCACAAAGACAAATCAACTCTGCGTCACTGAGCTTGTTGGTGATGCTCATTTCACATGCTCCCTCTTCATTCAGTGAGATCAGGGTGCTCTTACTCTTATCACTGCTCTATTATGTTACTGGCAGGGACACAAACACAGAAGAGGGCTGAGCTGGAAACTGTTATCAAGCACGTCTCAGGTTTTTGCTGACAGAAACGAAAGCTCGAAACGACTGGATCAGCAGTTAGAGTTTCCATGAACGTTCACGCTGAAGACGAAGCCTTTCACATTTGGCAACATTCCAGAGAAGGAATCGTTCTGTTTTTAAAAGTACATGTGGTCAAAGTTAGGGAATATTTGTGGCTTTGGTTAAATGATGATTATTTAAACAGCTTCTTTCTCCAAAAAACAGCTGAATGTTCCAGTATTTTACTGCTGTGATGTAACACTTCTCAACAGATTTCACATTTGGAGGCCATAAAAAGATATTGTCTAAGGAAGTAAACTCAAAAAAATGATATTGACTTTATGTATTTCAATTACATTTTAACTTTATGACATATGTCCAATGTGTAGGGTCCCATTAATGAAGTGTTTTCTATCATGTTGAGTTTGTGCCTCAATACATTGAGAGTGATTTCAATAAATAGATTGTGTTT